TTCACCACTACTGACCCCTCTTTCCCTGTTCACCACTACTGACCCCTCTTTCCCTGTTCACCATGTCCCTTTCTTTCCTTGTTAACCATGTCCCTCTCCTTATCTGCTCACCACGTTTCTCTCTTTCCCTGTTCAACACAACTCCTCCCTGTTCCCCACTACCCTCTCTTTCCTTGTTCACCACGCCCCCCCTCTTTATCTGCTCACCATGTTCCTCTCTTTCCCTGTTCACCACTACCCTCTCTTTCCCTGTTCACCAATACCCTCTCTTTCCCTGTTCACCACTACCTCCCTCTTTCCCTGTTCACTACTACCCTCTCTTTCCCTGTTCACCACTACCCCTCTCTTTCCCTGTTCACCACTACCCCCTCTTTATCTGTTCATCACAATCCCCTCTTTCCCTTTTCACTTCTACCTCCTCCTTCTTTATTCACCACTACCCTCTTTCCCTGTTCACCACTACCCTCTCTTTCCCTGTTCACCACTACCCTCTCTTTCCCTGTTCACTACTACCCTCCCTTTCCCTTTTCACCACTACCTCCCTCTTTCCCTGTTCACCACCACTACCTTCTTTCCCTGTTCACCACTACCCCCTCTTTATCTGTTCATCACAATCCCCTCTTTCCCTTTTCACTTCTACCTCCCTCCTTCTTTATTCACCACTACCCTCTCTTTCCCTGTTCACCACTACCATATTCTTCCCTGTTCACCACTATGCTCTCTTTCCCTGTTCAACACCACTCCTCCCTGTTCACTACCACCCTTTCTTTCCCTGTTCACCACTACCCTCTCTTTCCCTGTTCACCACTACCCTCTCCTTCCCTGTTCACTACTACCCTCTCCTTCCCTGTTCACCACTACCCTCTCCTTCCCTGTTCACCACTACCCTCTCCTTCCCTGTTCACTACTACCCTCTCCTTCCCTGTTCACTACTACCCTCTCCTTCCCTGTTCACTACTACCCTCTCCTTCCCTGTTCACTACTACCCTCTCCTTCCCTGTTCACCACTACCCTCTCCTTCCCTGTTCACCCCTACGCTCTCCTTCCCTGTTCACCACTACCCTCTCCTTCCCTGTTCACCACTACCCTCTCTTTCCCTGTTCACCACTACCCTCTCCTTCCCTGTTCAACACAACTTTTCCCTGTTCATACCACCCCTTTCTTTCACTGTTTGCCACTACCCTATCTTTTCCCCCGTACACTACTACTACTACCACCCTCTCTTTCTATGTCCTCTTCTATCCTTCTCTTTGATCTGTTCACTACATCTCCTTTTCTTTTCACCACAACCTTCGCCTTCCCTGTTCTCCGCAAACCCCTCCCCCTCCTCTTTCCCACCTCTAACCTCTCTTTCCCTGTTCACTACAATTAATGTTCTCTTTCCGTGTTACTACAATCCTTTCTTGCCCTCTTGATTCCGACTGCAGTGTTTTTGAGTAAAGCCGTCTCTTTGTCGGCGTGCATGGATGCTATGTGTAGTGTTAGGTGTGTTTCACAGTATCTTTGTACATCTGTTTGTTTAGCAGGTGGGTGATTGGAGGGCCCCACTGGTAGATCCTATTTCTTTTCTTTTCTTTCCCTCTGTTGTTTCTCTGTCAGTGTGGATGAATGGAGGACACCACTGGTAGGTCCTACTTCTTTTCTTTTCCTCTGTTGATTCTGTCTGTGTGGGTGGTTGGAGGGTCCGACTGGTAGCTACTTCTTTTCTTTCCCTCTGTTGATTCTTTCTGTTTGGGTTGTTGGAGGGCCCCACTGGTAGGTCCTACTTCTTGTAAATCTTTTCCTCTGCTGTTCCTATCTGTCTGTCTTACTTCTTCCCTATAGATACAATATGGCCGTTATTTTGTGTGTGTGCTTCTCTTTACTCAAACTTGTTCTGCCAGCAGTATCTTGTGTTAGCATTCGATCTGTTTATCGAGCAAACGCTGGGCTTGCTCGTGCGTGTCTTTTCCACTCATTGAAATGAAGAAGAGCAGCTAAACTGGTGTGATGTGAGTGTGGTGTGGTGTGGTGTGGTGTGGTGTGAGTGTAAGATGAATCGAATGTCAACAGGACACAGCTACCAGGATGTTAGAGTTACCCTACACTGATGATAGGCACTTCACTATCTATTTTATAAAAATGTGGGTTGTTGTTGTTGTTTACTTGTGGCAGTGTACGTTACGTGTCTCTGTAAGATTAGATTTCCTGTGGAGGGTGTTGTGTTTCATTGTGGGGGCGGGCCTGCACATATTCATTTTCCCTCTTTTTTTCTTTGTGTACAAAGTGTCTTTAGAGCGGGGGTCACATATATATATATAATATGATTTCCTTTTTCTATTTTGCGTTTTTCTTTTTTCTTTGTGTTGTGTCTTCAGAGCGGGAGATCACATATGATTTCCTTTAAAATTCTCTTTTGTGTTTTTCTTATTTCTTTGTGTGTGCCTCAGTGTTTTCCTTTTCCTTACTTAAGTGAGTACCCTTAGTGTGAAAAAGGTTTGTCTAACTAGTATTGCAGGGTTTTTGTTGTTGTTGAAAAGAGAGAGATGCTTCTGTTTGTTTGAGATGAATGGATTTGGGCACAAGTAGACAGAGGGATGTGGGTGGTTGGCGGGTGCTCTGGTGTGGTTTGCTCCTTCTGTCCTATCAAACATCTGATTGTCCAGATCTCTCCTCCTTCTCTTTTATGTTTGTTACTCTCTTGTAACACCTCTAATCTTTTGCACTATCAAACATCTATCGTCTTTATCTCCCCTCTTTCTTTTTTGCGTTTGTTTCTCTCTTGTAACACTTCTAGTCTACGGCACTTATATGACCTTATTGTGTTGCAAGTGCCGTATTAAAACTCTTACTAAAACTAAACTTCTACTGGAGCTAAAAACTAAAACGGTTCATTTGTTGCATTGCGCAGGTTCGAGACTGGAATGACCAGGGCCGCCAGAACCGCATGTGCACGGCACGGCCTGGCTGGGCCACCATGAGCTTCCGGCGCGGTCTGTACAAACACACGCTGCACAACATCGAGATCAACCTCATCGACATCCTCAACGTGGACACGCAGCGAGAGGTCAGTCGGGGGAAAGTACCGTTGGAATATTGTCGGAGGTGGCCACCCGTTGTCGAGAAGTGAAGTGGTTGTGTTAGACAGTGGATTTCCTGAACAGTGTCTTTGTAACGGGAAGAAAAGATAGAACAAAACGCTCGCGCGGGGGAGTGAAGTATCTGTTTGTACTTGTAGGCAATTGTCTTAAACAGGTGGCAATTAGAGCATAGTTAATTATGGGTTGTTGTTGTTTTTTTTTTTGGGGGGGGGGGGGGGTTTGTTGGTTTTAAAATTTTTTAGGACCATATTAATCCAAAGGGGTCTTAGTATATATACCTACAGTCGGTGTCTTAAGCAGTGTCTTTATAATGAGGGGAACAAATGCAGGGGAGGGAGTAGAAGCAATTGTCTTCATTTCTTATTCTATCCTGCCACTTAATGTCTTTGTTCTTTATAATGAGGGGAAAAAATGCAGGGGAGGGAGTTGAAGTATCCGTTCGTTTGTACAGGCAGTTGTCATAAACAGGAGGTCATTAGAGAAGATTCCACTGTAGTTGTTTATAATGTGTATTTTATTTTTGTTATGGCCGTATTAATCCAAAGGGATCTCAGTATACTAGTAAGGGCAATGCTTTGTTTTAAAAAGACGAATGTTATTTCCCAGCTAAAATGTAACTCAAAGGTAAAAATGTGAGATTGAAAGTCAAGTCTTGTTTTCACTTCTATCCTTAAGTTTATATTATATTATCATTACTGTATGACTTAGAGAAAGTTCTTCTTTATGTGGTTGAACTATTTGTGGGGGTTTTTGGTGTGTTTTTTTGTTACCTATGAAATGTTTTTTTCTTGTGTGTGTGCGTGCGGGTTTACTGTCAGCAATCTTGTCATTGATGTAAAGCTCTCAGTTTACCCCCCGGGGCGGCGCCACTGACTGAAGTCTCTTTGGGCCATTCCCAAAGGGGGGACATTTCTCGTTCATGCACAGTAAAATTGTAAATGGGCTGATTCATCAATGTCACGCTCATAACTGTGCCTGATCTACAAGAGGGAACTGCTGCTTTTTCTTTCCTGATCCTTACTATTATCATGTCCCTCTACTTCTTTTGTATATTTGTCACACTCTTGTGACCCGCTATTTCCGGGGTGCCTTGATAGTCGAAGCAGACTTTGTGCTGCTGAAGCTAGAGAGGTGAGCAGAGTAAGTCTGATTCCCTGTAAGGAATTCTCTGTTGACATCCACCCCTTTGCGCTCATATGACCTTATGCAGTTGCGAGCGCCGTAAAACTTCAACTAAACCTAAACTAAAAAAGCTCTCAGTTTAATACTTGTATGTGATAGAGCGCTATATGAATGCAATCTGTTATTATTCTTCTTCTAAATGTGACTATTTCACTGACAGATTGTGCGTGTGGAGCCACTGGTCACTATGGGTCAGGTGACCGCCTGCCTGAACCCCCTGGGCTGGACACTGCCGATCCTGCCTGAGTTGGACGATCTGACAGTCGGTAAGTGCTTTGTCACATCACAGCTCCAACTTTGTCATGTCACTGCTCCAACTTTGTCATGTCACTGCTCCGACTTTGTCACGTCACTGCTCCAACTTTGTTTCTTTTTTGGTAAGTGTTTTACAACACATTAAACATTTTCAGTGGGTGGTTGGCGGGTGCTCTGGTGTGGTCTGCTTCTTCTTTCCTATCAAACATCTATCGTCCTTATCTCCCCTTCTTCTTTTTTATGTTTGTTACTCTCTTGTAACACCTCTAATCTTCCGGCGCTCGTATGACCTTATGCAGTTGCGAACGCCGTAAAGCCTCTTTTAAAACAAACAAACACTTTCAGTCTGTAGGAAATTTTGAATTTTGCCCGGGTGGCGGTCGAAGCCTACTCTTATCGATTTTAGATCACTAAGGGATCTTTAACATGCGTAACTTGCACACGGGACCTCCCAAGATTTTTCGCCCTTGTCCGAGAAGGCTTGGTGTAGATCTTTCCTACCAGAAGATCAGGGGTGTGGCAGATAGACGGCAGTAAGAAGGAGCCAAGGAGTAGCAGGTCATGTTGCTTCTCCAATTTTTTCTGACTGGATACAGATAGAGGAGAGAGGCTTTTTAAAATCTTTTTTAAAACTGGACACAGATTAGAAGAGAGGTTTTTAAACTGTAAAAAAATTGGATAGAGACATTTTCAGCTTTTAAAAAAAAATCTCTCCTCCTTCTTTTCTTTGTATTTTACTCTCTAGCAACATTTCTAATCTTTGGCACATGGGTGGTTGGCGGGTGCTCTGGTGTGGTTTGCTCCTTCTTTCCTATCAAACATCTATCGTCCTTATCTCCCCTTCTTCTTTTTTATGTTTGTTACTCTCCTGTAACACCTCTAATCTCTGGCGCTCATATGACCTTGTGCAGTTGCGAGTGCCATAAAACTCTTACTAAAACTAAACTAACTAATCTTTGGCACTTATGTAACCTACTTGTATTGCAAGTGCTGTAAAATTCTTACTAACTAAAATTAAAACTGTGGGTGGTTGGCGGGTGCTCTGGTGTGGTTTACTCCTTCTTTCCTATCAAACATCTATCATCCTCATCTCTCCTCCTTCTTGTTTTGTGTTTGTTACTCTCTTGTAACACCTCTTATCTTCGGCACTTATATCACCTTATTGTGTTGCAAGTGCCGTAAAACTTTTACTTAATAAAACTAAATCTTTACTTTTTAATCTTGTTTTTCTCTAGGTGGTTTGATCATGGGGGTTGGAATTGAAACTTCGTCTCACCTCTACGGTCTGTTCCAACATTCGTGTGTCAGTTTTGAGCTGGTCACAGCAGATGGCAGTGTGGTCAAATGCTCAAAGGTGAGTGATGGCCCCAATAATTCTTTGGATGTTTCTCATAATTTTCAGTGGGGAAAATTTTTTGTGTGGGTGGTTGGCGGGTGCTCTGGTGTGGTTTGCTCCTTCTTTCCTATCAAACATTTGGCGTTCTTATCTCCCCTCCTTCTTTTTTGTGTTTTTTGCTCTCTTGTAACACCTCTAATCTTCGGCACTTATATGACCTCATTGTGTTGCAAGTGCCGTAAAACTCCTACTATGACTAACTAAAAAAGGAGAGTGATGGATCCAGTGATTCTTTTGATGTTTCTCTTAATTTTCAGTGTGAAAAAGTTTTCGTTTCAGCTTTTAAATCTTTATTTTCCTGCACTTAGCGACTTTCAGAGCACCTACCTACCTACCTGCCTCCCCAGATATCAGAAATTCTTTATACAGCGACAAAACACACCTGATAAAAAAAACTTGTAAATTCTTTGCCATATCGACAGGCCGAAGGACTAGAACCCAGATAGCTGCTGGATCGGAAAAGTAAAGTAAATCTTTATTTTATCACCCTCACATTTTTTCTGCAGTGACTTGAGTTTTGTGTTTCCTTAGCTCACTTAACCCTAGCGGACACTTTCAGCTGCCGAAGTTTCTTCCCGAAACGACGAGCGACCGCTCCCAGTGGCCAGGGGGATGCACAGTAGAATTGTAAATGGGCTGATTCAATGATTCATCAATGTCATGCTCATATTTGTGCCGGAACAACCCAGGGGGAACTGCTGCCTTTTCTTTTCCTCTTCCTTACTATCCTTATGCAGTTGCGAGCGCCGTAAAACCTTACTAAAGTGGGTGGTTGGCGGGTGCTCTGGTGTGGTTTGCTTCTTCTTTCCTATCAAAGATTTATCGTCCTTATCTTACCTTCTTCTTTTTTATCTTTGTTACTCTCTTGTAATACTTCTAATCTTCTGGTGCTCATATGACCTTATGCAGTTGCGAGTGCCGTAAAACCTTTACTAAAACTAAACAACATGGAGGGAACTGCTGCTTTTTCTTTCCTCATCCTTACTATCGTCATTTTTCCTCTACTTCTTTTGTATGATTGTCACTCTCTTGTGGCCTTCTATTTCCGGGGTGCTTTGATTGTCAAACTGTGGAAGTCAGATCTGGGGACAATAAGTAAGTCTTATATTTAACATTTTGTTGATGTTGTCTGGCCTGCGGGTGGCTGGAGGGCGCTGCTGGTAGGTCCTACTTCTTTTCTTTCCCTCTGTTGTTTCTGGCTGTCTTCTTTCTTTTTCTCAGCACTAAATGACCGTTATTGTTTCGATGTGCTGTGGGTGGTTGGTGGGTGCTCTGGTGTGGTTTGCTTCTTCTTTCCTATCAAACATCTATCGTCCTTATCTCCCCTCCTTCTTTTTCGTGTTTGTTACTCTCTTGTAACCCCTCTAATCTTCGGCACTTATATGACCTTATTGTGTTGCAAGTGCGGTAAAACACTTACTAAAACAAAATGAAAGTCGATATGCTTCTCTTTATTCGAAACAAACAAACAAAGAAGGTTGACTGGCCGTAGCCCCGAGACCTGATGCAGAGTTTCTGTAGATGGGAGAGAGTCTCTGTAACAAATGTATGTCGTTCTTTGTTGGCCAGTAACATATGTATGTCGTTCTTTGTTGGTGAGGAGGGTGTACTTTCCTGTCAATGTTATATATGTGAGGCAGCGTGGTGGAATCAGGCTCTCGTCAATTTTGGGGCATGTAGAGTTATTGGTATCATCTTAAAGCATGTTCACTTGTCTTTATTTGGATGAAAAAAATATCCATTTATCTGGAACACAAGTCGAGATATTTGCAAATGAAGGAGGCGGGGGTTACCTGTTTTCAGAGGTAAAATTAGTGTGAAAATGGCTGCCAAAGATGAGTT